TGTCAAATTCGGCTGTGTAGTTTTGAATATATACCATAATTCAGTTCAGTATTTAACTGGCTTTAAAATGGAGTGAAAATAATAACAATATATAATATACGATTAGAAAAACTCTTAAAATAGCAAAAAAACATGTTGATTTTTCTTTTCTTCATTACAACTCTAATGAATACCATCACAGTGTCTGGCCCATCCAAGATACCAAGCTATGGTCATTATATGAGCACAGCATCCCAGTGTTCTCTTATGCCATCTAACCCGGATGTGGCACACTATTTTTTTAAATGTACACATAATATTGTTTCCTCCCAATGTCTCAACTTAATTCTACCCCTTATAATTAGGACTTTATTTATATTTAAGTCTAATGCTAATATATCCAGAGAATCCGCTATTTCTCTCCGAAATGCACGACATCGCCTTAAAAAAGAGCGATTTATTTTTCGTGCATACCTTTTAGCATTGATATGTGACGCAGCCTGACTAATTTTTTGCCGAAGCTCGTCCAATGTCGTAATGGGATTTTCATAGATTTTGTCTTTGAGACAACCTCAATAGAAAAAGTCCAGGGGGTTTAGGTCGGGTGATCGGGGTGGCTATAAGATAGGACCAGCGGAATACTCTTGGTCCAAGTATTGTCTCACAGGACGAGCGTAGTGAGCTGGGCAACCATCATTTTGAAACCACATATTTTGTAGATCTCTTAAGGGGACGTCTTCAAGCAATTCTGGCAAATCATTTTGTAAAAAGTTCAAATAACTGTCACCATCCAAGTTTCCTTGTAGTTCAAAAGGCCCGATCACTTTTCCATTTAATATGCCCGTCCATAGGTTAACCTTAAACTGATATTGGGATTTTTCCTGCCTCATTAGGTGTGGATTTTCATTGCTCCAGCTGTGTAGGTTGTGGAGGTTTAAATATCCATCTTTCTTGCATGTTGTTTCGTCCGACCATAGTACTTTGTCCAAGAATTGAGGATCTTCCCGGTGCTTTTGAAGCATAATACGGCAAAATGTGATCCGTAGTGGATAGTCCCGTGGTAGCAATGTTTGCACACGTCTGTAGTGGTATGGGTGAAGCCTGTGACGTTTTAAAATTCGATGAACCGTACTTTTTGGGATTCCCGTAGCTGCTTCTATGGCGCGTACTGAAGTAGTTGAGTCAATGTTTATTTCATTGAGAACTTCTTCATCGTATTCCGATCTAGGTCTTCCAGCGTTGCTTCTGGCTGATGGCAAACGACCCTCCGAGAACGCTCGATGCACATTCATAAATACTCGGTAATCTGGGTATCTTTGGGCGTTCGGGTACCTTTCCCGATGCAATCTGCTAGCAGCGTTAGCATTGCACCGACATTCTCCATAAATGAGGTGCATATTAGCGTTTTCCATCGGCGTGTATGGTAGCGGCATGATAACGCTAAACAATCCAAAATACGACGAAAGTCCAATTCACAAAACACTATCACAGTCCAAATTAATGCCAGTTTGCAGATCACTTAATTCCAGTCCAAAATAGAAAGCCAAAAGTCGTTAGTACGAGAGCCACGTCAATTGAATACAGAAAGATGCGCAGTAAACAAAGGAGCAGAACGTACTGATCCGACTTCAGATTTGCTGAGAACAGGATTTCTCTATTAGTGGCCGGTCTACGAGAAATTATACGGCGTTTCGTGAACAAAAGATATCCTTTGGCAGGTTTGATCTGTAGGTCCAAAGGATTGATTTAAGAAGTGGAGCCACCTGGATTTCCCTTGCAGGTGAGGGGGGGAGGGGGGGGGGGGAAGTTTGCACCCGCCGCGCTTCGAATAAAAAATTATAACTGCTCCAGTTATGCATACAGTGGCGTGTTTGGTATCGTTTTCGCATAAGAAGAGTACGGGGAATCCGTTTTTAAGGTTAGTTAGAGATACTTTTGTACAAAAAGTCAATAATTTTCGAAAAAAAGTAAATTTTAAAGTTAGTTTTTTTTTCTTTTAAATATATTTACCTTAATAAACAGATCGATTTTGTGATAAAAAAAAATAGTATTATCAAGCTCATACTATCTAGTTTTTAGAAATATATACATTACGTATACTTCTCTAACAGTATGTACCCCAAAAAAAATACCGCGCGAATCTAGAAAACTTAAGTTGTAAATCATTTTACTGTTTATCTTTTTTTAACTGCTCCAGTTATGAATACAATGGTATGTTTGGTATCGTTTTCGCTTAAGAAGAGTACAAGAAATCTATTTTTAAGGTTATTTTTAAACATTTTTATACAAAATGTTTATAGTTTTGATAAAAAAGTAAATTTAAAAGTTATGTTTTACACATTTTTGGTTATTTTTCGCAAATTAACTATTATCTTCTACGTTGGAATGTATAGTTTGTTAAAGACGGAGTAAATAAAATAATGATAAAAAATAAGCAAATATATTTTATATTTATAAAATAAAAAATTGTTAAAATCAAACACTTTCTCAAGTCTTCGAATTCCTCCGGAGGGCCTCGCGGACTACAAAACTGAAACAAAAAAGATAATATTATATGTAATAATGTATAATCTCTGTTTAGTTTTAATAAACTATAAATATAATAAACTCTAATGTTATCTAACAATTTAAATATACCTACCTACCTGGAATTAGCGGAGTATCTGTTACACTCTTATTCTTCGATGAGCGCCTCGAGGTCTATTGCACTGTAACAAAATAGAAATAATATTATACAATGTAAATAACAATACGAAATTCAGCAGGCAAAGTTATTTGACAACATAAATATACCTGGTATTATCGCAGTTTCCGTAGCAGCTCTTACACAGCAGTGTGCATGGCATACCCTCTCGTCTGCAAGAACATCGGCCTCTGCAGCTGTTCTTGCATCCACACTTCACCAGCTCTCGTGCCGCCTCCCAGATACTGGGCTGAGTTGTCCATAAATATATTTGCTTATTTTTTATCATTATTTTATTTACTCCTCTTTAACAAACTATACATTCCAACGTAGAAGATAATAGTTAATTTGCGAAAAATAATCCAAAGCATGTGTAAAAGATAACTTTTAAATTTACTTTTTTATCAAAACTATAAACATTTTGTATAAAAATGTTTAAAAATAACCTTAAAAATAGATTTCTTGTACTCTTCTTAAGCGAAAACGATACCAAACATACCATTGTATTCATAACTGGAGCAGTTAAAAAAAGATAAACAGTAAAATGATTTACAACTTAAGTTTTCTAGATTCGCGCGGTATTTTTTTTGGGGTACATACTGTTAGAGAAGTATACGTAATGTATATATTTCTAAAAACTAGATAGTATGAGCTTGATAATACTATTTTTTTTATCACAAAATCGATCTGTTTATTAAGGTAAATATATTTAAAAGAAAAAAAAACTAACTTTAAAATTTACTTTTTTTCGAAAATTATTGACTTTTTGTACAAAAGTATCTCTAACTAACCTTAAAAACGGATTCCCCGTACTCTTCTTATGCGAAAACGATACCAAACACGCCACTGTATGCATAACTGGAGCAGTTATAATTTTTTATTCGAAGCGCGGCGGGTGCAAACTTCCCCCCCCCCCTCCCCCCCTCACCTGCAAGGGAAATCCAGGTGGCTCCACTTCTTAAATCAATCCTTTGGACCTACAGATCAAACCTGCCAAAGGATATCTTTTGTTCACGAAACGCCGTATTTTGCGTTTTTATGTCGTGTAGGATTGCCACTATATGTACCTGCATTGTTGTTATTCTACAAAAAATATCTATCTATCCCTCTCTAACATACCCTTCTCGCTATCTGTTGAGTCAACTATAAGTTGAGCCATTACAAACGTGCGAACTGAGTTAGAAAAACAAATTACGTCAAAGGAATGTGACAATGCCGCAGAACTCGTTTTCGATAAAGGGATGCAGCCGCTCGGGTGCAGATAGCTGGTAGAATTGGTAATTTGGTATACATAGACACAAGTAAAGGGCGAAGTGGCATGAAAACAATACTTTCAAAATAGCAGAAATAGAGCATTACCTAATAAATAAATATCTAATGAATATTTATAATTTGGTTCGTTTGTTTACAAATGGTGTGCATATTTTTTACTGTGACTAGTTATCTTAGATTATTATATCATTTTGGAATCTTGATGAGTTCAGTCAATTTTAAAAACAACTTGCCACAGTGGTGTCCATACTTTTTTTTTACAAGACCGTAAGTCAAAGATTACGGAACGTAAAAATCTGTGAAAATTTAAGGAAAAAATACATTTTCATTGTTTTTTGTGTAAAAACTGCGGGCATTTTGGTGTTTTTAACAGTTGTAGCGAATAGTAGTGCTAATTAGGTATCCGATACCTAAAAAAGATTGAACATAATTGAGAAGTTGTGGTCGTGGTAGTTGAAAATATCATAAAAGGTGTAAATTTTCGAAGATTTTCGAATTTAATTTTATAATAAAAAAGATTAATAAGATATAATTTTTTTCTTATTTTTCCATAAGTACACATGAGCAGGTCTACCTCTTGGCGCCCGCTTATCGTTGAATTTTGGGACACGTTGTATATAAAATAATGTATTGGTCTGGCGTGAGGCCGTGAGTCAATATCAGTGATCGATTCCATTTACATTGATTTATGTTATTTTTCGTATAGCAACATCGATGTTAAGACAAATTTTTTCCTTTCAACATTCTTGATTATTGAACATCGATGTTCATCGATCATCCCTAGCTGCCCTGACCACGACATTCGTGGCCCTGACTAGCTGCCCTGACCAGTTTAAGTTGACATTCGTGGCCCTGACTGATCGATGAATTATAGTGATCTGTGTAGCTATATATTGTTAATCTGTGATCTGTGTGCACTATTTTTCTTGTTATGGTGTTTTTTATGAATGTTTTACCAAAAAAAATAAAATACATCGTTGATTTTGCCGTGGATGGTTAATAAGTCAATAAAAGATAAATTATTAAGATTCGTATACTTACGTTAGGGAAGAAGAAGAAACATTATTAATGTGAGCAGTGATGAAGTTTTGAGTTGTTTTATGGCAACAGTACTTTACCACCATGAGTTCAAGAGGTTTATCTAAGAAGGAGCTAGAAGAATTACGTAAAAAGGAGGAGGAAGAAGCTGCAGCTCATGTTTGTATCACAATATTCCTTATTTAATATTATTTTGGAGGTTATGTAAAATCTAATATTTAGTTTAGATTATGCTTCTTGAAAACATGGGCAAGATTGTTAAAGAAAATGAAACTTTACCTATTTCTGAAATGATGATTTTAATAATGAATGCATTAAGTACTCCTATATTACTTATGATTATAAAAAATGTCAGAAGTTAACTGGTAGAGCTTAGATTATTTAATATCCAGATACTGTGTTGGTACCTAAAAATTGAATACCATTAAGATCTGCCAAAACATTGTTTTGGTGGGTTTTGTGGACAGAATGACAATGGCCTTTGCTGCACATGATTTTTTTTTAAATAAAAATTACTATTTGGGTAGTAAAATCATGCTTAAATTATATAGATGAGAAAGATGAGGATTTGAGTATTACTTTTCAATTATAAGGGAGTAATTTGCTGGCATATTTCTTTCTAAATAAATGCTTATATAAAGAAACTAAACAGTAAAGTATTAAAACATGAATATTGGCATGGATATAAAATTAATTTCTTCATTTTTTATTGTTGCTTTCCTTTCTTTTTCTAAGTTGTTTTAATATATATATATATATATAGCCTAAATGTTTTAGTTTGATCATTATATACTGTTACCAATCATATCACTCACATAAATGAAAAAATTCTTTGCTCACGCACATCAAATAGTTTCACAATGTCATTGTGCTTTATTGGGGACATTTTATAATCTAAGTGGTAGAGCAATGTAACTGCTCGATCTGGAATAATGAATGTATGAATATTATTTAAATCTTGTATTTGTTGTAATTTTAAGCTATTTTAGAAGCTTAATTTTTATATTATTATTTTTTAGGTATTCAAAGAGTTTGTGGAGACTTTTCAAGAAGTCCCTAGTACTACTTCAAAAGTTTGGGTGAAAGCTGGTACTTATGATGCTGGAGCACGAAGTAAGTAATTAAATGTTATTCTATTAATCTTCTTAATGAGAAAGTGTATGAGGATGGACGCAAAACAACTGAATGGTATTGGTGAAATTTGGTAGGTATATGGATAATTCTAAGTCTGAATTAACATATGGGCTACTTTTTATCTCACTAAATCATTAGGTGTTTATAGGTATAAATATCTTATCATCATGTAAACCATAGGCGTGAAGCCGATGGCAGAAACCTAGGGTTTTATATTCATTTCAGAAATCAAAAAGTGATGCAACTTTAATTCTTTTAAAACAATTTATTCTCTTTCTTTGTTTTTTTTTTAGTAGCATTTCGAACATCAGTACAATTTCAAAATTTTGTCACCCCTCAATTCTATACCATAGTTATTCACCAATACTATAGTATCTATTAAATATTTATTTTTTGTACTCACAGTGATGAAGTCTTTCACTCGTTGCCTCACTTACAACAAAATGTTACTATAAAAATTGTAATATACGTATTGAAACTTATTACTGATGAAGTATTAGAATGACTAAATTTTGATTTGATTTGATTCACCAACTCATTCTACCTAAAATTTTGTCCATTTTTTGGGTTAATGTTTTGGGTAACATGGTTCATAATTCAAGTTGTAGGTAATGTATCCAATATCTGTATGTTATTAAAGAGGAAGACACATCAGAGCGTGGCAAGTTATATAAGCCTACATCCCGTCTGGAGGAGAAGCGCACCAGCAGCGAGGCAGACATCGTGCGCAGTCTGGCGCCGCGACCTGAACCACCCCGCGTACGCTCCAAACAACGCTCGCAGGACAAGAAGAAGAGCAACTTGGAACTCTTTAAGGAGGAACTCAGACAGTAAATCAAATAATATCACTCTTAGACTATATCTGTCTTATTAAAAAGCTAGGACTATATCTGCGCTGCAATGGGTTATATATGATACCATCTCAGAGTATCAGGAACATTGTGGATTTATTAAGCATTTTGCATTAGTCTTATTAATTAAATATTGACTTATATTAGTTGGATAATGGTTTAAACATGGTTCTAAAGTTAATCCCTGTTTTATTGTAAGATAGAACGCCTTGAAGTGCCAAATTGCCAAAAAGGGGGCAGTGGCCACTACAGGGTCTTCTGCGCTAACTGCGTGCAGTACATGATTTATGGATAGCGATAACGTACAGAAATACGACGGTGTGCTAATAAATCGCATTGCACAGCAACACATTGTTGCAAATTTAACAAGAAATTATACAAGAGTATAGTTTAAAAAAAAGTTATACTATACTCTTGGATGCGACTGTATCTATGTGTCAACATATCCTTATTCATAAGTTCCCAATGTATATTAGAATACAGGAGGAGCGTTCAGAGCGTCACAAGTACAAGAATGTGTTGCGGGAGCGCGGCGCAATAGGTGTGGAGCCCGCGGTCGATACCATACCGGATGTGGGATCCTACGATACCGGGGACCCAAACACGACCAATCTCTACCTTGGCAACCTCAACCCCAAGGTTACTACTGTCACTATTTAATCACTTAACTTTAGATAGAGATAAACTATGTTATTTTGTTGATTCTTCATATTTTAAAAACAATAGATAATAGAAATTTTAATTTGACATGTCCAATAATATTTACAGAAATTCTCAAACTGTTTTGGGTTTCTATAATGAACCGAACCCCAAATTACTCTATCCTAGTGTAACGTAAAATTGACGTCACATGGATTTTTCTTACAACGCCGCTTAATGGGCCTTATCCCACGGTCAAATTTAGAGTACCGTAATTTAAAAAAATATATATATATTTAAACTTCACTGTCAGTTTTGACACTTTTCTTTCTTGACTTCACGACCTTTTTACAAATCGAAAAGATGTGAAATCTTTTATCATTAGTTAATCTTGTTGCATCTAAGGTATTTATAATATATATAAAAATATTTTATTATGGTGGAAACATAAACCTACCTAGGGGTCCACCTTGCCTTACCTTTACCTTGATGCAACAAGATTAACAAATGATAAAAGATTTCACATCTTTTCGATTTGTAAAAAGGTCGTGAAGTCAAGAAAGAAAAGTGTCAAAACTGACAGTGAAGTTTAAATATATATATATTTTTTTAGCTTTAGTTTTTGTTTGTTGATACAATTGCTTACCAAATTTTGCGATTGGTAAGTAAATTTGACATTATTTTCTCATCGGTGTAATAAAATAAAGCGGAGACTTATGTTGTACTAGAATTATCCAATGAGTTTTTGAAAGTTTCAATTAATAGGGATAATAATCAGACAACGTCAGCCTCCTAACATTAGTTTTCAGTTATGTCAGACTGGGAAACTGATTTCGTTCCCAAAGGGTTGTTATTTACAGCTATATTTGATATGAAACCTCATTGGGATGTATGAAAATGGATACCTCGGACCTTAATTAGACACCAAATAGTCAAACGTACTACATAATAATGCATACATAAGCAATATTCATGTCGTTTCAGATAACAGAACAGCAACTGATGGAGATATTTGGACGGTATGGTCCCCTGGCCAGTATTAAGATTATGTGGCCGCGATCGGACGAGGAGAAAGCGCGCGGTCGCAACTGCGGCTTCGTAGCGTTCATGTCGCGCAAGGACGGCGAGCGAGCGCTACGTTGTATCAACGGTATGCATTACGATTGTACTTAGCGAACATTCATATTTTGTAAAGATACTTCTTGTTTGTCAACATTATAATTACTCGACTGTTTTGGCAAAAGTATTTTTTAAAACTTTCATATGATCATATTAAACCAATATCAAACTTAATTTTCAACAAGCGGTGGTATAAAAAAACGAAATATTTCAAATCCATTGATTTGAATTGTCACGCGAAAACAATCAGTCACTTGACATTTCGAGTAGTGACGTCATATTTTAATAAATATGAGTACCTATTGCAATCGCATAAGAAACGTTGTCAAGGAGCAAGTTGACCACAATACCGTTAAACGGATTGTTTTTCTATTTAGGTGCTATGTTTTCTACAGAAGAGAAATTAAGGTCGATGGCGGCGTGGTTAGCACGTCCAATCTGCAAAGCGTAGGTTAAGTGACTTTCTGGGATGGGTGACCAAAAATGTAGAATCACATTAAACCATTGCTTCCATCTGCACCTGCAGTCTTTTATACTCATCTATGCGTCCTGGGCCCGCGTGGGGGTTATGGCCTATTCTCTGTTTGGTTGCGTGAATAGAAAAGGTCTGACTCCATAAAGTGTAAACAAATTAATAGATCAGTTATACTTAAAGTTTGCTCCGCGGCACCCTGAGGCTTCACGAAACACTTGTGGGGGCTCCCCAAGACCGTCAAAACAACTCTTTCTTTGGTTGACAGTAGCACGATACGAATTGTTTGACATTTTAACGTTAAGTAACTAAACAACTATTTTCCGCTCTAAGTTCATAGCATAAAATCAAGAGTTGTTTGCACCGCTATGCCATCGCCACCACTGATGATAGGTATATTTGGTTTTCCTTTGATAAAAACCGCCTTTGAGATAAGGCAGTATAGTTGTGAAAAAGCAATTTTCCTCTCTAACTCTATAAAATAAAGTCGCGATTTGTTTATTTATTTATGAAGTTATAAATTAGGGTGTTTCGCTTTACATAAGGGTTCCGTCACCAAAATAGTTTGAGAATCGCTGCTTTTGATGTTTTGGAGTGTAGTAGTTTGTAGTGTCTTAATGACTATTGAGATGTACTGTGTAGGCAAGGAGATAATGAGTTACGAGATGAAACTCGGGTGGGGCAAGGCGGTGGTGATCCCGCCGGTGCCCATCTACATCCCGCCTGCGCTGCAGCAGCCCTGCAAGCCGCCGCCCCCCTCCGGCCTGCCCTTCAACGCGCAGCCGCCGCGGCATCGCGCGCACAAGGTACATACACCACCACACACATCATTCTATTTAAACATATACTAATATAAATCTGAACTGTTTTGTTTTAGTTGAATGCGTTAATGTCAGGAGCTACTGGTTCGAATTGAATTTTTTTTTTTGTGTTGAATAGGAAATTGTCACGTAATCTTTTTCTCGTATACATTAAAGTGTTCATTCATTAATTCAATAGTCCGTTTATTTAGGAACAAAGCGGGCGAAGCCGATATTAAAATTGTAACCAATATTAAAATAGCTTTTAACGCTTGTATTATGTAAAACTGACACAACGAAAATACTATAACACCCAGACTTATTAAGACGCAATAAAGAAAACGTCATTTTGATCATTGACCCGACTGGGAATCGAATCTCAGAGATGAAGATACCTCGACATCAACATCCTAGTTACTCTGCCTTGAAGATCGTCAAACTCATCATCACGATGTACAACATCATTGTTTACATATTTATTTCTTATTATTATTTTCCAGTCGTGCCAAGACAGTATGAACCAACTGATAACTTTTTCGTGAATTCAGTGTTACTGCCGTAGTAAAAGTTGTTCAGTATACTTATTTATATAACTAATCCACTTGTTGCTCCAAATAATTGATTTTATTCATATTCACGTCATGTAGATTCCTCGTGTCCGTCCTGGTGACTACTACCCCAGTGATCCGGAAGACCAAAAAGTCTATGAACAGGTATGAAACTACATATATTCAATAAGTTTTCTTATTGATATAACGATAATGATCTATTTTTATTTTTTTCATAGATATTGTCGCAGTCGATCGTCAAAGTAGTAGTGCCTACGGAAAGGTTAGAATCTATATTAATAACTCATATAATTTTAGTAATAATTTATAAAGTTGAAAAACTTTGATGTATGCGCAATAACCAACACATGATGGTGAATTACAAATGAGTATTCAAATTTTGCACACATTCCAAAATGCCGATGCGGCACTTGGCATCTTGTAAGTTTTTGTCTAGTGCTAGTTTTATCGACGGTAACCACCCTTCCCCTATTTCACTAACCTAGAATAAGGCATAGCTTACTAGAAATCACTTAATTTTTACCAAACCTGTAACGTCAAGTAATTCCTTACTAAGCACTTGATTAAATTGTTTATGATTTTGCATGCTTCAGTTCCTCTTTTTTTATTTTAATGTATGACTTATTTGCGTTTACACAATTCCGCAAAAGTCACGTTACTGGCTTTTACACGTAAAGAGACAGCGCTCGGTGCCGCATAATGCTTAAGGTCGTTATGTCTTTGTTGTCATTGGTAAAACGCATTTTAATCTTAGACAATAAAAACGGCTATTAATATTTACATAATAGTTTTTAAACTCATTTCATCAATGAACACATTGATTTGAACAGGAACATATTGATGCTAATCCATCGTATGGTTGAGTTCGTGATCCGCGAGGGTCCGATGTTTGAGGCGATTATCATGAACAAGGAGATGAACAACCCGTTCTTCAGGTTCCTATTCGAGAACCAGTCCCCCGCGCACGTCTACTACCGCTGGAAGTTGTTCTCAATGTTACAAGGTGACTCGCCTAAGCAATGGTCCCTCAACGACTTCAGGATGTTCAAAGGTGAGTTACAATAAGCAATATTACGCAAAGCTCAGCGTAGATGGCAGCTCTAGTACATATAGTAAACAAAAATGCTTGTTCACTCTTGTCATAAATAGACTCAGGTTATATGATAATAGCAAAGTTGGCTGGTGCCGCTAACATAAAACTTTAATAGGGTTATTTTCTTTTTAATATCATATATTTTTCTTTCCACTAATTATAAAATCCTATGTCATATATATAAGCTGGTGGCTATTAAAAAGATATATTATGTATACATATATCTAGAATTGTATATCGATCAGACTCCATGTGTATATAATTTATTTCTAATAAGTTTACACAGGTGAAGTAGCGGGAAAACGTCTAGTATGTGTTAATGTTACTCCGTAAATAAAGTACCTATAATATTGTTATTCAGGTGGCTCTGTGTGGCGGCCGCCCGTGATGAACTTGTACACGGCGGGTATGCCCGACGAGCTCGTCGAGGAGGATGATGCCAAGGAGAATATACGCGGCACGCTATCAAACAAGTCAGTGTCATATATATCTTTAATGAAAATGCTTTAAAAAATCACCACACCATTAAAATTAAAAAAGAAAAAAAATATCCACCTCTCGTCAAGTGAAACAATCCATTAAAAACTAAAAAAAATTTCATCTCTTCTTCAAGTGAAATGAATCTATGAAATCAATACCCGTTCCATATTTACTATGGTTTTTCAGACGTCGATTACTTTTTTCTTTTAATTATACACAACTTTGTCGCTGGTTTTCAGAAAATAACGCAATTATAATAGTCCATTAAACTTTGAAAATCGCTCAAGAATTTGCGGAGTAATCGCGTATCAAACAAAAAAAAAATCATGCAGTCGAATTGAGAACCTCCTCCTTTTTTGAAACCATTCAAAAAATATTTTCCACTAAAAAGTCTTAATCAATAGAGACACGAACGAGATTATTGCGTTAATATTTAAGTTAGTAACAGAATTGAGGGTCATCTGTGTGTCGGTATTTGTTCAGCCAGCGGGATCGTCTGGAGGAGCTGATCCGCGGCCTGAGCCCGTCCCGGTGGAGCGTGGGCGCGGCCATGGCGTGGTGCCTCGAGCACGCGGAGGCGGCGGGCGAGGTGGCCTCGTGCCTCGCCGAGGCGCTGTGCGGCCCCACCACCCCCCCTCACAAGCGGGTCGCGAGGCTCTATCTGCTGTCGGACATATTGCATAACGCCGGCGCCAAACTCACCAACGCCAGTGCATTCCGCGGAGCGTCAGTATTTATTTTTATTTGTTTACTTACTCTAATAATTAATTATTATGACTGACATATATTTTTTTAAATAAACATTTTTACTTTGTTAAATGTCAACCACGACTGGGGTACGCGGGTCCAGGTCGAATCCGTGTTAACGTCCTGCAAATACAGCCAGAAGCGACGGTTTAACGTAGCATTTAGAGATAATTTTTGGTCGTCCATCCTGTCGCGACCCTTGCGAAAATTGGTTTACTGCGTTTTGAATTTTACACTGTTATTGTATGGTGTTTCCTTACAACTTAAAATGATAATAGATTTGATTGATTGATAAACAGTTTATTGATATTAAATGATATGCTAAATTATAATATTGAGTACACGCGACAAATGCTAATTGTGAACTGAAAAATATTGCTTATGTGCAAATTAAAAAACTATAAAATAAATTACATTTACATAAACGCTGAATTAGTACAATGTACGGTCATTCACCGTACATGCTCCGGGAGAGGAAATGAAAGGATGCTGGAAAGGAATTACTGATTATGGTTAACAAATTTGGTTACTTAAATATTTACATTTCACTTATAAATTGTATCTTATTTGCTAAAATGATTACGGAAATTTGGAGACGTCGCCTTGTTAGATATCTTTCCATATCTCAAGTCACTCATTTCAATATCGTTATCTGAACTACTATGTGGGTGCGATTGAGGTGACTTCATTGGCGGCAGCGGTGCTCGGATTGTAACATGCGAACGAAGTGTGCGTAGGGGCTTCGGCGGCGGAGAAGTTGTACGCGCATCCTGCTGCGCTCTCACCTCACCCAGGGCTGCTGAGCCCGTCGAGCTGGCGGTGCGTAACCGACACCGTCCACGTATTTTTCGCCAGGCCAGTGCTACTCCAGCCAATATAATGATACCTAAAATAAAATTGATTAAAACATATTGGGTAATATCATGGGTAGAAGTGTCCGATGTCGGACTTATTTCTGTATCGGCGTCTTTCAACGTCTGTATCTGATCTCGTATTTTATCTGATTCTTGCTGAAGCAGATTCTGATGAAACTCATTTTCTTGGTTCGATGCTAATGTAGCATTTATATTGGGAATCGACAAATCTATGATGTGATTAGTCGGCGGAATTATTATTTTGAATATATCTGCTTCAGTATGTAGATTATTTTCTCGCTGTTTATGTGCATATATTGTAAATTGTTCGTTTTTAATAATGCAGCCTTCACCGAGGCGTATGATACCACTACCATTCAATTTTTCTGATGAAACTTGATTTTCGCATATGATACGGAGTGTACACACTTGACAACATGAATACATGTAGGTATTTAGTTCATGTAATTCCAGCCACTTTGATTTGCACGATTCAATATGAGTGACGCAGTCTGTTGTTACGTCACTCCTTATGCAGAGACTCTTGTCTGATGTCATTTGAAATATCGGTTTTTGTAAAAGGCATAAGTAAGTAATTTCGTCATATTGTTTGCATTTTTCAATATCTGATTGACTCATAGGTATGTAGGAATCCTTTTGTATATTTAATGCTATATAGTTTGCTACAGGTCTTATGTTGATCGTGTGACTTATGTTCCCATGTTGAATAGGAATAAGTTGATATAACTCGAAGTTATCTCGAGTCACCAGTGGTAATCTAATTTAAAATATAAAGTATTCGTTTGTCATTTTTGCTTTGACCTTAAGCAGATGATATAATTTAGGTAAATCGCTTATTATGTTATTTATAGGTAATGATAAATCCTTTGAAAGTTGTCCTGATATCATATTCAATTCATTTGTCAGTTGTTCCGGCGTTATAAGGTGAATATTAAAGGATCCGTAATGAAGGTCGGCGATTGTGTCGAGTAGATAGTCTTGAATGTTTCTGAGATTCAGCAAAACATTGTTTACTATAATAGTTGATAATATGAACTCGTCGTCTTTTATGATATCTTGAATTTTTTGATTCATTGTGTTAGTGATTTTTTCTATTTGGTTGATATGTTGATTAATAATTTTGTGCTGCTTATTCATGATGTTTTCGACTCTTTGTAATAAATTATGTTCTGCTTCTATTATCGATGTTTGATTTTTAAATAGCACGGCTAAGTGTTTCTGATTTGAACGCAGTAACTCGATATCCCTCTGATATTGTTCGGCGAATTTATCATCAAGTAATCCAAATAGTGTGCGTCCTATATTTCCTACTCCATTGATAAAACCTCGTCGCGCACGCGACCTTGGTGCGGCGACCGATGAGAACTGCTGACCGAGTAACAGATGATTGTAGTGATCGAGTTCATTATAGCCGTGTTTTAATTGTGACATAATTGCATGACACAATGGTTGATTATTATTGTTACTTAAAATTTCCAAACTGTTTATATATTTGGTTAATATTTCGGCTCCTTCCCAATATGGTTGCATGTCGTAGTAGACGATAAGCTTCCACTCGTCTCTTGCAAGATGTATATCTGATTTTTTATCGAAATAGATGGCTTGATTGTTCTTTAACGGTGATATATTATATGTGCATCGTACTGGCAATATAATCATCATTGTAAGTAGGGTGATGAATGCTGCTTTGATACTACGGTTTCCTTTCTGGGTGCATGTTTTAGGTGTAATTTTTGATGATTCCGACTGTTTCTTTTGCTCGTGATGCTTTTCCTGATCATTTATAGGCAACGTTGATAATTTAACGATAGGTCGTTGAATAATGCCGTTTTTTGTTTTGAGGCTCACGACTCGTACATATCCATCTTTTCCGGGATGGAGTTCGCAAACTCTTCCAAGTGCCCACTTGCCTGGGGGCAAGTTCGTGTCTTGAATGATAACTATGTCACCTACTTTTTGATTTTGCTTGCTTTGCTTCCACTTACTACGAGCTGATAACTGACACAGGTACTCTTTCTGCCATCTCTTCCATAGATCGTTAAAAATTTTTTGTGTTAGTTGCCATCTTGTTCTTTCATCCCGTTCGGTTTCGATGATACTTAATGTAGGGCCACTAGCTAAGAAGTGAGACGGCGTGAGAAAATCAATGTCTTCAGGATCTTCTGTGATAGCGCAAAGCGGCCTGGTGTTTA